ACGACGCTGGACGGGTAAAAGAAAAAAACCGAACGGAGAAGGACGAAACCAACGACGAGATTTATCGCGCATACGTGGACGAAGACGACGACGACGATGACAAAGATGGCAACGGTTATGACATATACGGGGACGACGACGGTGGCGACAAAGTGCTCGATCTTCGCGCCAACGAGAATACCATGAGAAGCGAGATAAAGTGCGCCTACCGAGTGAATTTTACAAAACCGAACAATATCGGTTCTCTTTTGGGTTTTTCGAGCGATCGTATTCTAAAACCGAACAATTGGTACGTTTCCGACGGACCCGTCGACGTCATGAGCGTGAACATAATTCGCATCGAGTGTAGTATCACCGCGGGAGCGTACAGCAACGGACGCTCGGTGCACGCGATACACGAATTCGCGCCGAAAGTTCCACCGGGATATAAACTGTCGGAGACTCCGACGCAGATCATTTACCTCCCGATCGTCGCGCGAAACGTCACCGATATCACGGTGCGAATCGTGGATCAGAAAGATCGGCTGATCGACTTTCGCGGTGAGGAGATAACGATCAGATTGCACGTACGTCGTCGTCAAGGTTAGTGTGTGTGTGCGCGTATCCCTGAAGAAAGAGAGAGCGAGAGGAGGGATGCTCGTTCTGAACGGATCTAGCGCGAATTGTACGAACGAGCGAGCTAGCCCGTTCTACAACGAGATCGGAAGCGTAGGAAAGAGAAGAGGCGGAGGAGGGGGACCCGTTCTCAGCAACGCCAACGTCAGATTCCTACGATCGTTGGGTCTCGCCGTGAGAAACGCGTCACCGTCGAACCATTTCTACCTCGAGAGGAAAAATCATGGCCGACATCCTGAGTATCGGCGGTGAGCCAATCTTCGACGAGCGCATCGTCGGAATAGAGACTCACACGTATAACCCGTACGTCAACACGACGTTCGGACACAACGACGAGATACGAATACCCATACAGCAGCAGGATCTGTATACACTGCCGTGCGAAAGTTTCCTGTACGTCGAGGGACGACTCAATGACGACGGCGCGACGAATGGGGAAGAATACGCGAAATTAGTCAACAACTGCGTCGCGTTTATGTTCGACGAAATTCGTTACGAGCTCGACGGCGTGGAGATCGACCGGTGTAGAAACGTCGGCATAACCAGCACGATAAAGAACTACGTGTCGCTGACCGTCGAACGAGCCAGAAAACTGCAGAACGCTGGATGGAGTTATCCGACGAGCGAATCAAATCTGAACAACGCGTCCCATCAATTCAATTTTTGCGTACCTTTGAATATTCTTTTGGGTTTCTGCGAGGACTACAGACGCGTGGTGATAAACGCGCGACACGAGCTTATCCTGATACGTTCTCGTAGCGACCACAACTGCGTCGTAGATCCGAAGAAGACCGTGCCGAGAGATCCGGCCAAAGATCCTAAAATTACGTTATTGAAAGTGCAATGGCGTATGCCTCACGTGGCGCTGAACGACGTGACTAAATTATCGCTGTTGCGAACGTTGGAGAGCGGACGATTTCTGAGCGCGGGCTTTCGCTCTTGGGATCTGTACGAATTTCCCCTGCTGCAGAGCACGACCAAGCATTCGTGGGCCATGAAAGCCGCGCCGCAATTGGAGAAGCCGCGATACGTCATATTCGCGCTGCAGACCGGACGGCGAAACGAATTTGCGGGCGACGCCTCGAGGTTCGATCATTGCGCGCTCGCCAACGTGAAATTGTATCTCAACTCGGAATTTTATCCCTACGACGACGTGAATGTGGATTTTGAGAGCGACAAGTTCGCCGTGCTGTACGAGATGTACGCGAAATTTCGAGGAGCGTATTACGGGAACGGTCGCGACGACGCGCTCTTTTCCCCGCGCGAATTCGCGCGGGTAGCTCCGCTCGCGGTGATCGATTGTTCCCGTCAAAACGAATCGGTGAAAAGCGCCACCGTGGACGTGCGCATCGAGTTCGAAAACAAGGAAAACGTTCCGCCGAAAACCACAGCTTTTTGTCTCATCGTTCACGATCGAGTCATCGAGTACAGTCCGCTGACCAACGTGGTGCGCAAAATTATCTAACGGAAATTGAAGTTGTGGAAATACCTTATTCGAGAAACTGAAAATGCGATTGCGAGAATACCTCAACTGGGAAAACGGACATATATGGTTATGAGATTATTTTTATCCCGGAAACGAGGAGTATATAAATTCGCGGGTTCCTTCCATCGTTTCTCAGTCTGTTCGAAACGACCAACTTGAAACAAACGTCTGTTTTTTTTACTTTTTTTCCAACGCACGGCGACGCAATGGCGACAGCGGCAACGACGACGACGACGATCTTCGTCGACCTGCAAGGATTCACGGTGGGCGACAGATTCGTCGTGAAGGAGGTGGCCGTGTTGCGAAGCGAGACACGCGTGCTCGCGCATCACGTGTTTCACGCACCGATGAGTTGGAATCTGTTGACGAACTCCGAGAAAGCGAGAGCCAGTTGGTTGATAGCGAACCATCACGGTCTTTGTTGGGAGGACGGCGACACGGACTATCGCCAGGCGAAGACGATCATTCGACGCGCGGTGCGCGACAACCTGGACAAGTTGCGTGAGACGGAGGAGACGCCCGACGCGCGAATCTACGTAAAAGGTCTCGAGAAGAAGAAATGGCTGCAGGAGATTCTCGGCGACGTCGACGCGACGATCGTGACCGTCGATGCGGAATACGAGGACGTCGATCGGTTGGAGTCTCTTCACACCGATCGCGCGTTTCGCTGCCGGCGTCACCAACGGTGCTGCGCCATGGAGAACGTGATGAAGTTGCGCGATTGGTGGATCGAGCGACGCAAATGTTTCGCCAGCATCGATTCCGCGAATTAAATTACTTTATCAATTTGTGTAAAAAAAAACGTTATATATTACTGGTTTAATATAATTTCATTTTATTAGCGTATTAATTGTTTTATCTTATTGCGTTGCTCGTTTTTTTTTTATTTTGTATATATTGTGTTTAATCGTTTTATATTTTTTACTCCATTGTATCATATATATCCTTCTATCTATATATTTTATCGAATAAAGATCGACGTAAAATCTATGACAAACGGTGTTCCTCTTTTCGCATACCTCCTCCGTATTTATATACGTGTACATTATATGCTACCGAGCGCGCGAAAAAATGGTCGGTCGCGGCAGCGCGTAACAATGGCCGGTCGCGGGAACGCGACAAACAGAGAAACGGCGAGCGAAAGCGAGAACGCGATACGGGAGTGGGGCTCCAGCGCGAGATGCGGTTAGGAACGCGAGCAAGCGATAACGCCAAGCGTCAGATCGAGTGCGAAAGCGAGCGGTGAAGAAAACGCGATATCGTTAAAACATTTATTTTCATTGTTAATATTTTATTTGTAATACACTATTATATATTATATTATACATAAACTTCTGTCATTTAATAACATTTTTTTTCACTATATCGTTTTTCACATTTTTTTCACATTTTTTTCACATTGGGAGACGCAACATACGGCGGCGGGGACATCGTCGTTGTCGGTCACTGTTTCTTGGCAGCTCAGATTCGGAGAATTCCCCCCCTCGTCGTCGTCTCTCTCGCGACGACCCGCCTCTTCGCGCGAGTCCAGCCGCGCGATGTCCCTATGCATCCCATGAAGTTTCATCACGAAGAATCTGATCTGATTCCGAGATTTTTTCACCCAAGAAGTAATGATAGCCCTACGCAAAAATTACAATTACAATTAATAAATATAAACAAATATAAATATGAATAATAAATATAAATAATTATAAATATAAAATTTATCGTTTGATTATATTATAAGAAATAATTTCGCGTTTGAAAACGATACTCACGTTCTTTCGAGCATTGCGGCGTCCTCGTCCACGTGAACGGTGAGATGCAAAAAGGGAGGCACCTTTTCCGTTAAGCACTTCACGCGCTGCTGCAACTGCCGCACCATGTTGCAATAATCCTCAATCTCCCTCGTCAGGGCTGTATTTTGATTTTGTAATATATCACACACGCATTTTAATTCGTTGATTTTCTCCATCGTCTTGAGTTCACTCGAAGACCGCGGATAGACTACGCTCGAGTCTAGTCTCGAGTTCTTATATATGGTAAAAAAAGGGTGTTGCCCATGAGTGTTGCGATAGAAAAATATACTAAGAATAGCATTGTATTGCGTGAGAAAATTATAAATCGATGAAAAATACCAATCGAGGAAAATAAGTAATGCATTGTTTTTATCAAGCCGACTCATCCGCCGGACTCAATAGCATTTTATTACGTGAGGAAAATATAAATCGAATGGAAAATACGCATCGAGAAAAATAATTAACGCATTTTTCCTTATCGGGCCGACTCATCCGTCGGGATCTTCGACGCATTTTTTTTTTTCACGCCCGAGACCCCCCGCCGCGCCGCTACCTATCCGAGTTGTCGCTAACGAGCGTCATCGCGTAAACGTTCGCATTCGGAGCGCTCGTCGAGATCGCGCTCAAACCGCGACGCGCCGTCATCGCGGTTTCACCGTCTCTCTCTCGCTCTCGACGATGCGGCTCGCATACATAATCGCGTTAACCGCGTGTTTCAACGCCGCGACGTGCATCAATTCCACAATTACGGACGACAATTACGCGTTCACGTTCGACTACCTGCTGAAATACGGATATCTGTCCAACGACGTGGACGCGATTCCGGCTCAGAGACGAAACGACGTTTTTCGCAAAGCCTTCAAGGAGTTTCAGAATTACTACAATTTACCCGGCGACGGAACGCTCAACAACGAAACGCTGAAATTCATGAGTAAACCGCGATGCGGTTTCCGAGATATCCTGAAGCACGAAACGAAAGCGAGCCTGTCCAAATGGCCGAAGACGCACCTGACGTGGCATTTTCACTTAGCCGACGAAAACGAGTTGAACACGGCGCAGGCCGCGTTCGACCTGTGGTCACAGCATTCGGCATTGACGTTCGAACGCTCCGAAATGCCGAACGCCGACATTATAATATCTTGGCGACGCCTACTACACTATAACACGAACATCGAGGTAAACGGAGAATTGTGCTCGGACAAATTCGACGGCCCCGGCAACGTGCTCGCCCACGCGTTTTTCCCGACGGACCAAGCGGGATTCGTTTCCGAGGTGCACGTCGACGGGGACGAGCCGTGGCACATTTACGTCAACAAACATCCCGCGGATAAGTTTTTCCTGCATTACACGTTGACGCACGAGATCGGCCACTCCCTCGGATTGCCGCACAACAGACGCACAACATCGGTGATGTTCGCGATACAGCCGGATCAGCAGTATCCGGTGAAGCTCGACCAATACGACATCGCCGACATTCAACGTTTGTACGGTGAAAAAATTCAGAACGATAAGCCGCGTTGGACGCCAGCGCCGGCGCCACCGCCGCCGCCGTCGCCGGACCTGTGCAGCCTCGATCGCGTGAACGGGATATTGATTTTGGAAAATCGAATGTACATCTCGTACAAACGTTACGTTTGGTCGGTCGATCTGGACGGTAGGACGTACAACGGACCTTTAGCCCTCTCGAAGCACATGAGCTTTCTTCACGACAATTACACGCGCGTGACCGCTGCCTATCAATCCCCGTCCGGCGATCTCATGGTGTTCGTAGATAATTTAGTATACTTGGTTCAATATCCGGAATTTAGTCTGCGGCCAGGTTGGCCGAAGACCCTGCAAGAACTCGGATTTCCCGAAAACGCGCTGATCAACGGAGCGGTGAACACCCACAGAGGACGTTCCTACGTGGTGTTCAACGGTAACGCGGTGGGCGAGATAAACGAATGCGACCAGGACAAGAGAGTCGCCAAATTTACGCCCCTCGAGGCGACGTTTCCCGGAATACCGAAAGGCGTGACGTCGATATTCCGCTACATCGACGGCAATCTGTACTTCACCACTCGGTCGCAGTTTTATAAATTAAACGAATTTACGAGGACCGTCTCGTCGGCCGGTAAATTCGATCTGCGGATACTGAATATCGTCTGCCCTAAGGCCGAACTGCTGCAGCAGTTGCGCGATCTCCTCAATCGAATCGTACGCCTCAACGATAACTCGCTAACGTCGGCGAGCGATTATTGGAACGATGACGACACCGGAGTTCGGCTCTCCGATTTCCGCATCCGCCGAAAGAAGTAGACTACCGCGCAAATTTTCCACACCGCGCCACGCGCGACATAAGTCAAATCTTTCCTACTTATACCGGCGTGTCCCTTCCAAGGCATCAGTGTCGCGTCGTCGGCCGAATACGACGCGTCGGAAAAAAAAATCAGAAAGGAACGGTTACCGCGGCGCGAAATGTTCTCGACGTTGGCCGATCGACCCGCGCCGAGGAGTATTTCTCCTACGGAGACGGCGGATTCGGAGGCGAACGACAACGACAATAAAAGACGGAGGATCAGTTCGATGGACGATCGCCATTATCTTCCTCGTCGCCAGGAATCGCGTCGCAGCTCTCATCCTCCAACCGACGCGCCCGTCGAGGACGATCGTCGTCGTCATCATCAGGAGTTTCGTTCCAACTTTCCCGTCGAATTGCCCCCTGTGCGCATCCTGACGACGCGTTATCTGCTGACGACGACTGGCTACAAGTACATAGCCATAGGTATCACGATCAAGACACCGTGGTACAGTCTTCATACCACGCCTTCGTACGTGGATATCGCCCTGGGGGACAAACAAGGAAGGGAAATCTCCCTGACGCTCGACATGTGAAAAGGACTGATCGAGCGCAAACGCGACGTATTGTCGTGCATGGAACGCGCTCTTTCCGACGTAACTCACCCCCCCTCGCCGATGTCGATCGGAGGGATGACAATGCGATTCGGAGTGATCAACAACGGGCCGATCGTACGTATAGAGCTACCCAACCTGGCTCGCGTGGCGATGGTGCGCACAACCCTGCTCAAGCTGTACAATCTGCAATTTTGCGTGGATCGCGTCATCCGTGCGCTGAACGCGGCGACCGAGGAGGTCGACGCTAAGTTTTTGCGCTATCGGGAGATAGCCGCCGCCGCGATGAAAATGGAAACTTCGATTCAGCCTGAGATACAGAAGAGCGATTTCTTCGATCCTGACAACATCATCGACTGCGAGATAGCCGCGCTATGTTTCGACTCCTTATAACGATGTCGCGTCTACGAAATGCATATATTCGCGCGAGCGAAACAATGTAAACGCGCTTGTATTATTTTTTTGAATAAAAAAAAAACTATATGCGTATCTCATCTGTGCACTCTCTCTTTCCATTTTCCCCTTTTTTTCCCAAATCCGTATACCCATGTCAGCGACCGCGACGCCGAGTTCGAACGCGCGTCACGTAAATTATCGCG